CTTTATGTCTATATATCTATCCATATCTACCTACCTACCTATCTAATATCTATGTCTATTTCAAGATTATCTATCTCCATTTATCTATCTATCTACCTAAAACTCAGACACAATATTGTATATATATTAAATATATTGTACATATATATATTCTGTTGCAAAAAATGCCCCCACAAGAAGGTTTAGAAATCAGCAACCATTTCTAGAACATAACAAAACAGGATTTTTTTTAATCTTGAGAGCACAACATCTCAGCTGTTATCATTCTTGAACGCTGCCCGACATACATCTCCTAAACCCTTGTCAGCTTTGAGCTCACATGTGTGGGATCACAGCAATATGTGCATTTAGTGTGTGATCTGTGATGACTCAGTTGCTTGGGCTGGCGATCGCAATCCAGATTTGCTAAATTGCGTAGGAATTGTTTACTTCTGTCGTATGCATTTCCTCCCCAATGGATTAAAGCCACCGCTTTGTTTAAGAAATGGACACGTAAAGTGTACTCAATAAACTTTATTTTAATCATCGTCTCTCTTCTAAAACTGGGGTTAAGACACAGGCTTGGCCTGACAGCAGCAAAGATCACACAGGAAATTTCTCCCTGATTCAATCCTTCAAACAAATAGAGAAAGAGAGTCCTCAAGAACCACAGTTAGAGCCCAGGATTCAGAGGTGGTGAATTCAGCTAGTTCTGACCGGTTCTGGAGAACCGGTAGCGGAAATTTTGAGTAGTTTGGAGAACTGGCAAATACCGCCTCTGACTGGCCCCGCCCCCACCTATTCTCTGCCTCCCATTGAGTCCCAGCTGATCAGCTGGGTCATCTTTTGTTGCCCTGCACAGGAGAATGGAGCTGGAAAGCAGGTTAGTGGGGTGGGGAGGGAAGGGGGATTTTGCAGTATCCTTCCCCTGCCACGCCCATCAAGCCACGCCCATCAAGCCACGCCCACACAACTGGTAGTAATGAAATTGGAATCCCACCACTGCCAGGATTCATGTTGCTAAGTGAGAAATTCGTGAAGTGAGTTTCGCTCCATTTTATGACTTTCCTTGCCACATTTCTTAAATGAACCCCTGCAGGGGTTCAATTAGTCACACGGTTGTTAAGTGAACCCCATGGACTTCGCTGGTCAAGAGGTCGCAAAAGGGAATCACCTGACACCCCGGGATGCTGTGACTATCATAAATACGAGTGAGTTGTCAAGCATCTGAAAACGAACTATTGTAAGTTGAGGACTACTTGCACACTTTTTCTATTACCGTGAGCTTCTATTTAAGAAAAAAAAAAATCCCCTGACTTCTAATATTTTCAATTGCAAATGTTCTTGGTAAGCCCTGTTTATCGCTTAAGCACCTTTGATTTGCAAATAGGTCCCAAACCTGTGCATTATGCGTGCAAATAAACCCAAAGGCCCCGAAAGGGGAGCGATCCGACATCAAAAGCATTAGCATAAATTTGAATTTGAATTTATTTACCCCTCTCCCCCTAAGTGATAGACAGGGTTCCAACAGGTGGCACAACTTACAGAAGCCTGGGGTGGTTCTATTGAGGCCAGCGTTTCTCGGTCTTAGCGTGCTGGCTGGGGAATTCTGGGAGTTGAAGTCCGTGTAGCTTAAAAATGAAAAGGTTGAAAAACACTGATTTGGACTAGTCAGCCCAACCCGCTTGTTTAGTTCAAGGACCCAGATTGAAGCATCTCTAAGAGAGAGGGAGGGAGAGGGAGGGAGGGAGGAAGAGAGAGAGAGAAAGGGAAGGAGGGGGAGAGAGAGAGAAAGGGAGGGAAGGAGGGGGAAAGAAAAAGGGAGTTAGGGAAAGAAAGAGAGAGAGGGGGGAGAGAGAGAAAGGGAGGGAAGGAGGGGGAAAGAAAAGGGGAGTTAGGGAAAGAAAGAGAGAGACAGGGAGAGAGAGGGAGGGGGAGAGAGAGAAAGGGAGAAGGAGAGAGAGAGAAAAGGGGGGGAAGGACAGAGAAAGAAAAAGGGAGCGAAGGAGAGAGAGAAAGGGAGGGAGGAAGAGAGAGGGAAAAAGAGAGGGTAGAAGAGAGAGAAAGTAAGGGAGAAGAGAGAGAAAGGGAGGGAGGGAGGAAGAGAGAAAGAGAGGGAAGAAGAGAGAAAAGGTGAGGGAGAAGAGAGAGAGGGAAAGAGAGGGAGTAAGAGAGAGAGAAAGGAAAGGAGGGGGAGGGAGAAAAAAGAGGGAAGGAGGGAGAGAGAAAGAAAAAGGGAGTTAGGGAAAGAGAGAGGGAGACAGGGAGAGAGGGAGCGAGAGAGAGAAAAAGGGAGAGGGAAGGAGAGAGAAAGAAAAAGGGAGTGAAAGAGAGAGAGAAAGGGAGGGAGGATGAGAGAGGGAAAAAGAGAGGGTAGAAGAGAGAGAGAAAGTAAGGGAGAAGAGAGAGAAAGGGAGGGAGGGAGGAAGAGAGAAGAGGGAATGAACGAGAAAAAATGAGGGAGAAGAAAGAGAGGGAAAGGGAGGGAGGGAGAGAGAGAGAAAGGGAGGAAGGGAGAGAGAGAGATAAATGGGGCAAAACTCATTTAACAACTGTCTCGCGTAGCGACATAAATGTTGAGCTCAATTGTGGTCGAGGTCTACCATACGCAAGAACTGTCATTTAGGCAAAGAGGGATGAAACGCTTCTGAGAAAGTTCTGACCAAAAAGATTATAGTCAGAATATTATAATATTCCAATAATATCCAGGGGCTCTTAGGACCAGGGTCTCCCTATAGGGGAAGGAGTGACAGAAACAGGAGGAGGAATTAAAAGAGGCATCAGCTTAGAATCATTATATAGGCATAAACAACTGAAGTCCAGCCCTTCTTGAAGGCCATTGATCCTTATCTAGGACTCACAAGATGCTAATCAGTAGTCTGAGAAGATTCCTGCGTGTAGGCTTTAACAATAAATTAGAACAGGTAGTCCTCAACTTACAGCATTCCTTTAGTGACTGTCACTAAATCACCATTTGTGACCTTCCCAGCCAGTGTCCAACAAGCATGATTGATGGAGCAAGCCAGATTCACATCGCCACTGTGTTACTCACTTAAACAACTGCAGGGATTCACTGAACAACTGTGGCAAGGAAGGTCGTAAAACGGGGCAAGATTCGTTCAACAGACGTCTCGCTTAGCAGCAGAAATTTTGGGCTCAGCTATGGTCCTACGTTGGGGACTCTCTGTATCTCCCGCAACGGGGCTTCTTGCCTCCCTTCCGAATTCTGCTAGAAATTCAAATGCTTTGCGGAGCAGGAAAAAAAAAGTGTCGACGTCGACCGAGAGGAGTTAGGTAGACCCGGATCTCCCACCAACTTGTCTTAATCATGGAGCCAAAGGGTGGGGTTGAAACAGCTGCTAAGCAGAGGTTCCGTGAAGTCCTCACTTCTCCACCGGTCCGTTGTGGGACTGGAGACAGAAGCCTGGGGGGGGAGAAAAACACAGAAAGGCTGGGAGGATCAAGAACAGCTTCCATACACAAAGATGCAAACAAGAAGGTCTAGACTTAAGTCCACATAGTGTATCAGGTCCAGTTCAACAGACGTCTCGTCCAGTAGCTACAACTGCATAACACACTAAGGTTCCCGATACAAGAGACTAGCTCAGGGTTGAACTGTTGGGCCCTTGGGGGCTCTCGGAGCTCGGTGCAGAGGTGGGATTCTACCGGTCCAGACCGGTTCTATAGAACCGGTTGTTATGATTCTGCGCAGTTTGGAGAACCGGTAAATCGTGCAACTGGCTGGCCCCTCCCCGCCCCTCCCCTCCCTTTTGACTCCCTCTTCTTTGGGGCAGCACATGAGACCCTAATGCAGGGGTAGGCAAATATGGCCCTTTTATGAATTATGGACTTCAACTCCCAGAATTCCTGAACAAGCCAGGCTAGCTCAGGAATTTTGGGAGTTGAAGTCCACAAGTCATAAAGGGGCCATAGTTGCCCACCTCTGCCCTAATGCAATCCTAGGTTGCATTAACAGAGGGATACAATCGAGATCAAGTGAGGTACTAATACCACTCTATAAAGCCTTAGTAAGGCCACACCTAGAGTCCTGCATCCAGTTTTGGTCACCACGCTATAAAAACGATGTTGAGACTCTAGAAAAAGGGCAGAGAAGAGAAACCAGGATGATTAGGGGACTGGAGGCTAAAACATACAACGAACGGTTGCAGGAACTGGGCCTGGCTAGTCTAAGGAAGAGGAGGACCAGGGGAGACAGGATAGCAGTGCTCCAATGTTTTGAGGGGCTGCCCCAGAGAGTAGAGGGGGGTGGAGTCAAGCTATTTTCAAAAGCACTGGAAGGCCAAACGAGGAACAATGGATGGAAACTGATCAAGGAGAGATTCAACCTGGAAATAAGGAGAAACTTTCCGACAGTGAGAACAATCAACCCATGGAACAGAAGTTGCCTTTAGAAGTTGTGGGAGCGCCATCACTTGACACTTCCAAGAAGAGATTGGACTGCCATCTGTCAGAAATGGGGTAGGCTCTCCTGCTTAGGCGGGGGGGTTGGACTAGATGACCTACAAGGTCCCTTCCAACTCCGATTATCTGTAATCAGATATTGGAGCCCCGCTATCATGCAGAAGAAGACATATGAATAAACCTACGTCTCCTAAAGTCAGGTTAATTCATGGCTGATGTCCTTAATTACTCATCCGGATGACTCATCGCAACCAGTTCTGCAGAAACCTCCCCAGCTGCTTTGGGACGAGAGTGGGAAGGGGTGCACCTCAGGGTATAGTCTTAAAAAGTCTAAATGCCAATCATCAAGATATGATCAAAGCTCTGCCTGCCTTTAATGTATGTTGTAGGCTTTCTGTTATAATTCCCTACACCAATAAAAAGCCTTTTAAAATCCCTGCTGTAGCTGTTTTTTTAAAAAAAAAATCTTTAAGTTTATCTCTATCCCATCTTATACCAAACTGCATCACGACAACTTTAAACTTTACTAATTTAGTTGTGTTATTTGTTTAAATTCCTGCCACTGTTATTTTAAAAAAATAATTGAAGGTGGCAAACATTTTCAAGTCATGTTCCTCCTTCTAGTTTATCCACAAGAACAACCCTGTAAGGTGGGTTGAACTGAGACAGAAAGACTGGCTCAAAGTCACCCAGCTGGCTTTCATATCTTAAGGCAGGACTAGAACTCACCGCCTCCTGGTGATTGGCTCAAAGTCACCCAGCTGGCTTTCATGCTTAAGGCGGGACTAGAACTCACCGCCTCCTGGTGATTGGCTCAAAGTCACCCAGCGGGCTTTCATGCTTAAGGCGGGACTAGAACTCACTGTCTCCTGGTGACTGGCCCAAAATCACCCAGCTGGCTTTCCTGCCTAAGGTGGAACCCATCCTCTTTTGCTGATTGGCCCAAAGTTAGCCAGCCAGCTTTCATGCTTAAGGTAGGATTAGAACTCGTGCTTTCCCACTTTCTAGCCCTTTCTGTCCTAATCACTAGGAACCAAACTGGCTTTATTTTGATCTATATAAAAAAAAATAATTGCATAAGATTTGTAAGATAAAAGAAATGTGAATTTCTTAAGTTTTCTTCTTTCTCAAAACTAAGTAACTCCTCTTTCCATTGGACCCTCTTTTGTCTGAAAAGGTTTGCCTGAAATGGTATAGTCCAGGGTTTCCTGCCTAAGCAGAGGGCTGGACTAGAAGACCTCCAAGGTCCCTTCCAACTGTTATTCTGTTATTCTATTCATAGGGTCAAGTGTACATAAAGATCCAACACTGGACGTTTTTAAGAAGAGATTGGAGAGACAAATGGTTGTCCAACATCATCTTGAAAACTTCCAGTGTTGGAGCATTCACAATTTCTGGAGGCAGGTTGTTCCGCTGGTTAATTGTTCTAACCGTCAGGAATTTTCAACCTAGAACTGGAAGTTGTTAAGAAGAGATTAGACAACCATTTGCCTGAAATGGTATAGGCCAGGGTTTCCTGCCTAAGCAGCGGGTTGGACTAGAACAGTGGTGGCTAACCTTTGGGGGCTCTTGTGCTTGCGTGCCAACACCCAGAAGGCAACGTGCACGGCCCCCCACCTGCTGCCCCCTTACCTGCACTGTGCCTCCCGGCTGATTTTTGGCCTTTTGAGGCCTTTTTTTTGGCCTCCCAGAGGCTTGAGGGAAGCCTCTGCGGCCTTTGTAGGCCGAAAATTGGGCCCGTTTCATCATTTCCGGTATTTCCAGAAATACAGGAAGTGACTAAACAGGCCTTTTTTTTTTCAGCCTCCAAAGGCTGCAGAGGCTTCCCTCAAACCTCTGGGAGGCTGAAAAAGGCCTCAAGCAGGCCAAAAACCAGCTGGGAGGTGCGCGCACGCACAGTGAGGTAGGTTGGCCTGGGGCTCGCATGCCCGCACAAATGGCTCTGCGTGCCACCTGTGGCATGCGTGCCATAGATTCGTCATCACGGGACTAGAAAATCTCCAAGATACTTCCAACTCTGTCCTTTTCTTTTCTTTTTATTTTATACACTCTCCTCCAGGCAAGCTTAAGAATAAAATACATTCTTTTATTAGTCCTCAAGTTCTTGGTGGTTCAGAAGTGAGAAAAGGACACTTTTATGTTGATGAGGGGATGTTGCTGTTAGAAATCCTGATGCAAGAAAGGTTAAAAATGCAAGACTGGTAGTCTTTGACTTACAACAGTTCGTTCAGTGACCATTCGAAGTTACAAAAAAAAAAAGCACCGAAAAATGTGATTTATGACCATTTTTAACACATATGACCATTGCAGTTTTCCCATTGTCACGTCATCAAAACTCGGGCGCCTGGCAACAGATTCATATTTACGACGTTCGCAGTGTCCTGCAGTCACGTGATCCCCATTTGCGACCTTCTGACAAATAAAGTCAAGGGGGAAGCCAGATTCACTTAATAACCTGTGACTAACTTAACGACTGCAGCGGTTTATTTAACAACCATGGCAAGAAAGGTCATAAAATGGGGGAAAGTTCCCTGAAGAACTGTCTCACTTAACTATTGAAATTTTGGGCTCAACTATGGTCATAAATCAAGCACTACCTGTACTGGAGGTCTATGGTGATTCTCTGTTGTGGTTGGCCGGCAGCAGGTGCGGATGGCTGAGGACAGCGAGGACTCAGATGAGGGGCCAGGACCATTAGGGAGTGGACTGCTGCCTTCAGAGATTGTGGGGGCTGGCAGCAGTGATGAGGAGGTTCCCGAGGAGCCTGTGCCAAGGATTGCTCACAGGAAAGAGCAGCTGCAGCAGCACGAGCAACTCGGGAGTAAGGCTGCAAGGTAATGGCCCCTCCTTTAAGAAGATAAAAGGCAGCTGTGAAGCAAACGTCCTTTGCAGGAAGCAAAGACGTCTTGAAACTCAGCCTCGTGGACATTACAGTATCTTAAGTTGGTATTTGAAGACTCTTACGTTGTGAAATATTTCTTATCTGTGATTCTTGGCAGTCTCGTACAGTTTTGGCAAGGTTTGTGCTTATCAAAGTTAATTAGTTTGCAGCAGCCTTTTAACCGGGGATTCATAAGAATCATTAAAAGGTTTCTGTTCCCTTTGGTTATTGTTTGTCTTATTGCAAAAGGGTTTGGGTCAGAACATTCTCAATCATCCAAGTCATGGTTGTCCCAAAGGTTTTTTTTCAAAAGGCAACTGGATTTTCTTGGGTTTTTTTTTTTCCTTTTGAAAATATTTCGCTTCTCATCCAAGAAACGAAAAAGCACTCACGCATCATCCCAAAATCTCCAGCACTGTAAAGCCTACAAACTTGAAATTTGGCACATCTCTTCCTTTTGGCTTCTAGGTGCTCACTAAGAAAGTATTTTTTGAAACGATCATCAGAGTGTTAGCATTTCCTATATTATTATTATTAACACGCTCTGATGCTAAGGAGTTCTACTCCCCCTCCCCACCTGAAAAAATGAAATCTCTTCCAAATGCAAAACACAAGCAGAGGAGATGAGTTTCAGTTTCACAGCATCAAGCAGCTTTAGGACAGAACAGTTGAGCTAAGCCACGCCCAGGCTCCTTGCTGTCTCCTTCTTGCTCACACAGCAAATACTGTTTCACTTTACAAACAGCCCTCAACTCTCTCACACACTGACAGGACGCTAGCCAGATGAATACCGATGGATGCTGGTAGGCAGAGGCAGAATTTTTTCCCCCTTATTTTCTTTCCCCAAACGCTAAGCCTAACCACATAGTTTCGTAGCGAAGCACTAGGTATCGAGCTAGTAGCTAATTGGTACCAAACCTGGCTGGGGGTTGATGCCATTCCGACTTGTTGTCCTTCGGGTTCTTGTTGGCTTTCTTCGTCCTCTGCTGAGCTCTCCGTGGTGCTGAAGTCTTGCTCCACGCTTTGAGGAGATCCATTACCTGCTCGGTCACCCTCAGACAGAGGTGAGGGGGAAGTGGATTCGGTCAGCTGGAGTCCTCCATCCGGCTGACCCTAAAACATATGCATATCCAGAAGACGACAAAAACAAAAAAAAAGGGAGTGTGAAACTGGATATTCAACAAAATCTTGGATTTGAGAATATTGTGGTGGCTTTGGGCCCGTTTCTATATTTGGATTACCTGGCATAAATCAATCCACGATAGATTTGTTTAAAAATAAATCCACCTTTGGGGGGGAAATGAAAGAGTGTAGAGTTTCTAAGACACTTCTTCACTGGGTGTATAACACACATTGAACTTAAATCCTAGTAAATCACTAGCGCTCGCATAACATGTCTCTCAAAACAGGCTACATCACAGTAAAATCTTGATCTGATGATTAACTCAAGGGAAGAACCATCGGTTGTTGGGTGCAACTCACACTGTTGACCGTGCTTAGCAACACGGATTTTGGTCCCAATAATGGTTGTGTGTCAAGCAGTACCTGTATCAGGAATTTGAAAAATGTGGCATAAGAATCATTGGGCGCATGAGAATCTAACTAACATACCAACACGAAAGGCCATTCGTGGTTAACCTGATTGCTGAACTAATTATTCTGTGTCCTCAGCTTCTGCTATGAAACCATTTTTCAGGTGTTTGAAGAGTAGTAAACTACCAGAATCACCACCAGAGAGGGGTGACCATATAAATGTGGTAAACTGTTTGTTTGTTTGTATGGATGGATAATTGGAGGAAGGGAGGGATATTTGTTTGGATGGATGGATGGATGGATCGATGGATGGGTGATTGTAGGTATGTATGGTTGGTTGATTGGTTGGTTAATTGGATGGACGGAAGGACGGATGGATGGACAGATGTTTGTTTGTTTGGATGGAGGGAGGGAGGATGGATGGATGGGTGATTGTATGTATAGTTGGTTGGTTGATTGGTTGGTTGGTTGGTTGGTTGGTTGGTTAATTGGATGGACAGAAGGATGGATG